GATGATTGGAAAAAGAAAAGACAGGCTGCAAATCCTTCATTTTATCGCTCGTAAGTAATTCAAATTGGCTTGGCTGATATAATTTAAGTTTATTGTATGTCTCAAAGTGTTCAGGTTGGGAATAGATTAGAATTACACCTTTGTATTTTGAATGCTCACATGATTGTCAAAACACAAATGATTGCCAAAACGCACTAAAGAATTTAACCTCGAGTGTCTATGATTTTCCATCGCGCTATAGATTGCCTTTGTTTATGCTAATTAACACTAATAAGTTTCCTTTTTTGAGTGAATGATTGTCAATAAATGCAACTGTTTGTCAATTGGTCATTGCACGAACAAGAAACAACGTTCCATCCAAATGATTGTCCAGTCTTTCAGTTGATTGTGTATTGATACTGTTGAATGCTTGCACGTATTTAAATATCGCTATTGAAAGTCGTTTCACGCCAATGATGTTGCTTGCGGTGTTCAAGAAAGTAAAATGATAAAAGTTATTGACGCATCACTTGGCACAAATGAATGTATTGTACGTTTTACGTTAATGAACAGCAAAAGGTGTAAGTTAACTCTTTCAAAAACTGGTACATAATTAATGTGTTATTTGACAAATAAAATGAGTCTATTTGGTCACATGCATGGACCTTTTGTAGATGATAATGATAAATCAATCTTATTAGTATTCCTTATATAAAGAGTACTAATCAAAGGTCTCAGGTTTGATACCTGATCATTGACCAATGCAGGATATCAACTGATTGCAGTAAAACAGTCATCAGCGCTTCTATCGCATTTTATATGCGTATTCAATGTAGGATGACATTGCTACTTTGAACAGTGATTTGCGCATGATCTCTTTGGCTCATTTGTCTCAAAACGTATTTTTACGGCAATTTCTCTAAGAATTTTAAAGGATTTGAGTTTCAAATTAGAGTTTTTGAAGCCGTTTAAAACACTTTTAAACTTTTTTTCTTAAAAGATAGTGTTTTATCAGGTATAAAGATTCTTTCCTTCGGCTTTAAACTATACATATTAAAATACAAACACTTTACATCAGTTTTATAATGGTTTGTATATTATAACTACTAGTTTTTTTTTCTTTTTTCTTTAGCCACCTCAAAACAYTGATTCCAGATTATAATAATTCATGTGAGAAGTTAATCAAAAAGCTGATGGAGTACTCTGATGGAAAAACAGAGGTCAGGATGGTGGATTTTTTTCATCGTCTCACTCTTGATGTGATTGGCAAGGTAAGATCATGATTAGTTAGCTCTGATGGCTATAATGGGTCACTCAGAGTTTTGGTCTCGTAATCTGGTGGTCACTATTTCCATTCTGGGCACTGAGACTGAATTTGTTCCAATTTTTGTTTTCAATACAGTTTCTCAGCATGCCTGTAAAAATATAATAGCCAACTGGCATGGATGGCCTCCTTTCCATTTTGGATTCTTACGATATTTCATGACAGGTTTCTATGGTTTGTGTTTAACATTACCCCACATTAGCTTAGTGTGATTGTATTATTAAATATCGTCTAAAAATAGAGATATCTAGAGTATTTGCCATATGTCAGAATCCGCTATGTATTTGGGTGTACAACAAAACAATGTAGTGTCAGAGGAGGGCAGTCTTATATTCAATATCTGGAAGGCAAAATTGGTTTCTTACACACTCATGTTTGCATTTTATTGCATCAACTGTTTCTTGATTTGAAGAATAACTGTTTTTAGGTGGCATTCGATTTGGATCTGAAGTCTATCGAAGATGACAGCACATCTTTCCCCACTGCTGTTTCTAATTGCTTGAAAGGATTAATCTTCGCTTTTAGAAATCCATTGCATCAGGTATGCCATTGTTTTCTTCAGTATTCTAAGGAACTGAACATGACTTTTCGTGAACGGCTTTTGATCTTCTTTTGATCTTCTAATAGAGATCTGCAATGGTATTGCGGGACCAGAAATTTCTGCTCCCGTAATGCCTTTCAAGGATTTTGCTTAATTACAGTCTCACTTTGGAAAGA